GCCAAAGTTGAGAGCCACTAAGCCAGCTGGAGGCACTAACTCACATGGGAGTGGGAAGAAGTGAACAGAATTCAGTCTTACCTTCATTCCCTTTGCAAATGACGCAGATTGAGGAGCCCCCCGGAGAACCCTGCTGCGTAAGGAGGAGCTGTTATTGGCATAGTGGTTGATGAAGCTATCGATAAGCTGAGTAAGGAATAGATTCCTGCGTAGCTGCCTTCTGCAAGGGCTCCTCCTCCCAGGAGAGGAGCAGGAAGACACTGAAGAAGAAATGCAGAGAAGTTGTGTGTCTGAGGGTTAGGGTGGAGGGAGAACAGTGAAAAGAAATAAAGCTGGAAAGAGTTTTAGGCTTTGGGTGGAGTTTCTTGATTCCTTCATGATATAATAACTAAACCATTTACTTTAGTGAGTGTGAAGCATACAGTTAACTGCACATGCAGGGTCTCATGGGAGAACTGAGATCTGCAAAGAAATGCAAGGTTGGCATTTTGGGGGTGATGGTGTGTGTGTGTGTGTGTGCGTGTGTGTGTGTGTGTGTGTGTGTGTGTGTGAAAAAGAAAGAGAGGAGAGAGAGAGAGAGAGAGAGAGAGAGAGAGAGAGAGAGAGAGAGAAGAAAATACCTTTACTACGATATTTATAGACTAAATAACGACAAGAATTGACAAATTCTAATGGTACATTAGGATATATTTATTTTTTCTTGATTTGTTTCCTTAGAGGACAAGAATTAGAGATTTGGAAGATGCAAAACTCTATGATCCTAAGTGGAAGTTGGTCATGAAGAAAAAAGGAAAAAAGATTCAGAGAGAACCTTTAAAAAGCAGATCTCTACAAAATGAAGGAATTCATAAGAAGTTTCTTACTACCTAAAGGAGGGAAAAATAGATAAGGAAATATGGGGGGGGGAGGGGGAGAAGCAAGTGTCCTTTAAAAGATAAACTCAAGAGGCTCAGGACAAACACTGGATCAGAGAAAGCAGAGATGGAGCTGCGTGCAGGGGCCTCTCAGTGGGAGAGGCAGAGCCTATGAGGTAGGGAGAGGAGAGGAGAGCAGGGAGGGAAGGACAAAGAAATGGCCCGGCTCAGAAGGCACGAGGGCAGAAAGAGCAGACAGGCTTTTATGAAATTTTACCAGAAATATTCTTCGTTTACATTACACAAAGAAAAGCCCATTCCCAGTGGACAAAGAGGGCAAGCAGAAACAGGAGGATTCAAAATAGCAGAGGTTTTAATGTGGATTTTTACATTTGTCTTTAGCAAAAGTTGTTACATTTTGTTGTCGGGTCTGGGGGTTACTCTCAGAAAGCAACCACAAGCAGACGTCTTGTCTGATCTCCTTTCAGCACCACAGTGGCTGGTGAATATACAATAGGTTTCCTTTGCATCTTTCTTTGTCTTTAACTCTTGATTTGTTTTTAGTCTTGGAGTCCCAGCCCGTGTGACATTGCTGGGGCCAGTAGACTTGAAATTGAGCAGATCGTCCTTTGCAAAAAGCTGCCTGAAATGAAACCCACAGGGACTCAGGACACTCGATTGAAAGGACATGGGCAATTGGCAGTGACCACTAGGGAGGGACCAGCAATTATTCTGAGCATTTCCAGAGAAGGGGCGTTACCTCAGGACTGTCACAAAGAACAAACATGATACCCATCTCTAAAGAAGCAGAAAAAGACGACCATATTCCTTATAGCCCGATAAGCTTAACCTGACTTCTAGGGAAGATGCTAGAACAAATCATCAAGCAATCAATGTGCAGTCAGGCAGAAGGGGGCAAGGCCTGGGGAGCTTATGGACACAGCCATATAAAGAGTAAATCAAGTCGGACCAATTTAATTTCCTTCTATGATAGAGTGACAGGCCATGTAGATAAGGTGGAAGCAATAGATGTAATCGACCTGAGACCTCAGCAAGGCGTTTGCCTCTGCCCCACATGACGGGTTCAGTGACAAGTCGGCTTGCTACGGTTCAGGCCAGGGGTCAACAACCAGAGCTCTGACACAAGATGGCAGGAGCCCAGTTTCCACCATGCTCCTCTCCTTTTTGCTCCATCGCCTCAGTGAGCTGATGTTCAATGTCACACTTCTTTATTTGACAAGCATCTGTTTTGTGCCTCCTACATTTGTGCACCATGGCACTTAATAAATGTTTGTTGAATGAATGAATGAATGAATGAATGAATGCTACCTATATGTGCTGCAACTTTTGGAGACTGGCACAAAGAGGCTGGCTTAGCCCAAATCCACTTACTGCACTGCAAGCCAGCAACTCCAATTTATTCAAAATGCCAGAATCCAGTTTTGTATTCACACAATACTGAGACTGGGTCTGTAGAATTGAAACGAGAATCTGCCTTCCAATGTTTGCCATTTTGCAGAATCTGGGCACAAATCGAAAGAGAAAAAGACATACCCAGAAGGGAATATAGTTTTTGGATTACCCATCTTTATCTGTAGTCCAGATGACAGAATTTTAATAATGCAAACTCTCCATGGGTCATATAATACATTGGACTAGGTTGAATAAGCCACAGAAAACAGGCTAGTGCACTGTGGGCACATAAAACAAAACTCAGGAATGCACTTGAACTACTCAGACACAAGATTGGTCTTTGTTATAACTGTAGGTGAGGCTAGAGCTCAAAGGAACTTAAATGTAGGTTTCAACAGACCCTAGGATGGCAGGAGAAGCCAAATGGATTCAATGAATGGCATCAAATGAATGCCATCTAGCTAGGAAGCAAACTTTCTTCAGACCTCCATGGAGCAGGCCTTCTGTGATTATCATGTTTTTGGAAGGATGAAGAGAACGTATAGTGAGAGCTGAAAAAGGTGAAATAACTGAGATGTGAAAGAAATGACTAAAACAAGTAAACTAAACAGAAGGCTATCAGGTATGACAACTGTCAGCAAGAACCTGAGACCGATACGTGAGGCACAGAAAAGTATTCTCCATCTCTACTCTGAATAAGGAAAAAGAAAATGGAACATTTTATTTTATTTTATTTATTTTATTATTTTATTTTTTTAAATATATTTTATTGATATTTTACAGAGAGGAAGGGAGAGGGATAGAGAGTTAGAAACATCGATGAAAGAGAAACTTTGATCAGCTGCCTTCTGCACACCCCCCACTGGGATGTGGCTGCAACCAAGGTACATGCCCTTGACTGGAATCGAACCCGGGCCCCTTCAGTCCACAGGCCAACGCTCTATCCACTGAGCCAAACCGGTTTCGGTGGAAGATTTTATTTTTAATAGCAGAACCCCAACCCTAATTCTTCTCATCTCCAAGTACTGCTTCCTGGCAGCCATTTTTTTTTTTTTTTTTTAAAGCTCTCTGTTAGCTATTTTCAGCTGCTTACCTTCAAATAATATGCTTATGCTGAATTTCTTGCTTTTATTTTTTTAATATTGTCTGTTGATTTTTATTATAGGGTAAGAGAATTTAGCTCTCATTTTCTGCCCACCCTTTTTTTTGTTGTTGTTGTTCTTTTTAAAAGATTTTTTTAAATTGATTTTTACAGAGAGAGGAAGGGAGGAGGAGAGGAAGAGATAGAAATACTGATGAGAGGGGGAATATCTATTTGCTGCATCCTGTGCTTCCCCACCAGGGATTAAGCTCGCAACTGGCATGCGCCCTGACTCTAAATTGAACCAGTGACCTCTAGGTTCATGGATGATTCTCAACCACTGAACAACACTGGCGAGGCTGCTGCCCCCGTTTCCACTCTCCTTCCTCCCAGTTTAGTTAAATGATGATTTTTGGGTAAGTCAAATATCAGGGTGTAGATTGTTTTGATTAGGTACTGCTTACTACTAAGCCAAGTCGTTTTTTATAACTGCACTCCTTTTTATGTGGGTCTTGGATTCAATACTTCCAAAGCTCACCAACAGAGGTGTAAATCTCCCTTTATTACTTTGAACTTGGGAAAACAGGATATGATATAGTAATGTAGTTTTCCTCCTGAAGACGCCATTCCTGGAGCCTCTGTCTTCTTACTCCAGATGGACAGGCTGTTCACTGGGCCTGTTGTCCTACCTTCATTCTGGGGGCACCCTTCCCATTATCTGCCGATGTCCTTTCCCCTCTATATTAGCTTCTTAGGGCTGCCATAACAAAGTGCCGCAGCCAAGTAACTTAAACACAGAAATTTATTGTCTCAAAGTTTTGGGGTCTAGAAGTCCAAAGTCAAAGCATTGGCAACACCACACTTCCTTTGGAAGCAGGAGGGAAGGATCTGTTCCAGGCCTCACCATAGCTTCTGATAGTTACTAACGTTTGGCAGCATAGCTTCCATCTTCCCATGGTGTTTTCTTCATAAGGACACAACTCACATGGAATTAGGGTCCACCCTACTCCAGTATGACCTCATCTCAACCAATTACATTTGCAACACCTCTACTTCAAAATAAGTTATACCACTTCAACATAGGAGTTTTTGAGAGATACAGTTTACCTCCAAACTGTCTCTATCTCATATTGTCTCTTATATCTCATTCATGTTCCTTCTATCTGGGTGTAATCCCTTATTGTGGAAGAGCACATTCTAATAGCTTCTTTCCAAAAGATGAACGAAAGAATAGCCCATATTTTAAGTGTCTGAAATTCCTCTAAATTGGGCACATGTTATTGATAATTTGGCCAGATAGAAAATTCTAAACTGAAAATCACTCTCAGAATTTTGATGGTGTTCCAGTGCCTCCCAGCTTCTTGTGCTACTGTGGAGAATCTTGTGTCATTCTGATGGCTAGTGCTTTCTGTATGAGCACTGATACCACAAGGATCTTCTCTTTATTCCAGGTGTTCTGAGATGGATGTGTTTCATTGCGTTAATCACATTCTGTTCTTTTCCCCCCATGAATATCTTTTCTTCTACCCCTGAGAATGTTAACTATGGGTTCTTTTTAAAATAGTTATCTCCTGTTCTATCTATAGTCTATGTTTACTGAGTTCTTTTTTTCCCTATTATTTTGTCTTTCCTATTGGACACTTTCCCAAAAGTATAGGTTTTACTAGTATAAGTTAGATTTCTGTCTAAGCTGCTATAACAGTTTTCCCAAATCCTAGCTTCAATATAGAATTTTATTTTTTGTCACATGCTTGTCCAGGCATAGGTTGTTCTGGTCATGTGACTCTGCGAGCTTCAATATATGACTTTCATGTGGGTTTTGTAATCAACCCCATAATAAATCTTTGTTGTTTTAACATGAAAATATTCTCTGCTGAATCTTTGGGTAAAATAATGCTCCAGAAAGCTATTCCATGCTTTATTTGTATTTCAAAAACTACCCTCTGATACATGGCCACAGATTCCCCCAGAGATATGCATCCTCCAGTTTGAGAAATACAGGCCTGGATCATTTCTCTATTTTTCTCTTCTGAGTAGGTAGGTAAAAATGAAAAACAACAAAAGAAAGGAAGAGAAGCTTGAGGAAGAATGACCTGCCTTCTATTTTAAAAATAAATCATAGCAGGACAAAGCTGGAATGGAAAATTCAGAACAGTGATCAATACGTGGAGAAAAGAAACCAAAAGGCCATGTTTTATTGCATGATCCATGCACTGTGTACAAAAAAAGGCAGCTCACTGTGAACACAGGCTTCCAGGGCTAGGAGGAGGTGGAAACAAACCCACTGTTCAATGGAGGGCACCAGGAAGAGCCTGCTGGAAGTAAATTTGGTGCTTCTGGAAAATGCTTCCAGCCTCAGGAAGCTCCCAGCCTGCATTTTGGCGGCCAGGGCACCAGACACAGAAAAGCATGCATTGTTTCCTTCGAACCCTGGGACTGGCTTATGGCAACATATGCAAGGCACCACCCCCCACCATGTTTGGTTGTCAGGCTGGGTAAAATCCGTTGGTATAAACTGGGTGAGAGAAAATGAAACTAAGAGCAGCATGCAATGAAGTGAAAAGGGAAAGATATGTAGTAACTCCTTTGGGGAGAAGAGGACAGCAAGGTGAGTGAGCAGGAGCTTGGATTTGTGTTCCTCTGTGGGTGGAGGGCCTGGATCTCCTTTGATGCTCTTGGCTCTGTCTGATAGCCTACTCTTGTAAACGAGTGAACAAAATCTGAGCAAGGTTCACAGATTTGCTCAGCGTTGCCAAGATAGCAAATAATAGACCCAGATTCAAATGCAGAGCTGTGGGATTACCAGATGGACAGTCTTTTAACTAGACTCCTATGTCTGAAAGACGGGAGCCAGGAAGCTGGGAGAACTGTACATTTTGATTGTTTATTTGCTTATCATCTCTCTGCCCACCCAAGAGTATGAGCTCCATGAAAGCAGGCAGTCTTGTCATTTTGCTCACTGTCCTGTTACCAGTGCATATAGATAGCAGTGCCTGACTCCAAAGAATATGCTTACATGCATCCTCTGTCTGCTCTTAGCAGAGATGCTAATAGTCCAGGGCATGGTTCTTCTTCCAGAGTCCCCCCTCTCCCCACAGCAGCCCAGAGTGGTAGAAAACTTAGAAACAGCCCCAAATCCACATTGGGGGTGGGCAGGGAAGGGGTTGTGAGAAGGGTGAAGAAGAAAAGTGGCTTCTGTGGCAGCAAACACGTAAGTCTGAGACTGAGAGTGGGGGGGACTGCATGACTCACATGCCTACAGGTGACAGGTGGCATTCCTTGCCCCCTTTTCCACTAGTTAATTAGTGCAAAAGGCTGTCAGACAGCAGCTACCCCTTCCTGCTCTTCCCAGCCCCCCACACCATTTGAGCTCTGCTCCCTTTCTACTCCTCTCATCATCTCTCAGGCACTGTCCCTTCTCCAGAGTTAATGAAAAGATGTGGAAAGAAGCACTGAAGCCAGCCACCATTCCAGGTCCCTTGTTTCCCATACTCTACAGGGCATTGTCTCTTGTGAACCTCCAAGCCTGGAGTGACAGTCCCAGCAGACCCCGGGACCCCAGCATTCCCCCACGCCTATCTAAATGGAGTCATCTTTCCCCTCCTCTAGCCCAGCACACCTCTAGCTCCCCCTGCTCACATCAGTGATCAATGGCTCCAGTGCAAAGCAGTTAACTCCTCATTGCAACATTTTCACTCTCCAAGGTCTAGACCAAGACCCACTTCTCACTAAGTCCAGACCTCAGAGCTGGACCCCTTCTTAGAAAGGGCAAAAGCCATGTGATCACGGCTCTGTTGTCTTCCTGTGTGCTTCCTCCCCTCTCCATCCAGACTCTAATGCCTTCTGCATACTCCCCACTTCCTCCCACCATCACCTGGCCCAGATGTGGGACACGGTGTGTGATCAACACATAAGGTTTCATTGCTTCATGGACCTCATCTGGGGAAAGCCATTTCCTTCCAGATCCACACAATTAGATAATAGAATGAAAGGCACAATAATACCAGTAGTTTAGCCAAGCCTCCTGGCCATCTGTACTCCTTTTAATCATGTTTGTTTTTAAGAATTTGGAACATACATAAAATAATTTTTAAGAGTCACATGTATTCTGGTGTATTTCCTGCCAGTGCAAATATGCACACATTTTTTCAAGGAAATTGGAATCATAACACAGCTTTTTAAATTGGAATAATATGAGTATATTTCTTTATTAAGAGGCTTACAAAAGTAACAGTATTTTTATCCTTCTTTTCCCTATGTTATGTTATGTTATGTTATGTTATGTTATGTTATGTGGAAAATGTTCACATTAAATAGTTTTCAAGTTATTAAATACCTTTCAAAAACGTAATTTTTCACAGCTGCAGAATAGGCCACCACAGGCCTGTGCCTTGCTGTGCTGTCCTGTTACTGTGCATTCCAGGCATTTCCTGCTCCCCATCACTTCTAGGCCTGTGCTCCACTATTCAGCCCCATGCTATGTCTACGTTAACATTCGCAGGCCCTGCCTTACTGTGACTGGCCCCTCCACCAAGCTCTCAAGCTCTCTGTTCCTCATTTTAGTGTCAGTCTTCCAAAAGAAGCAGCTAATCCTTAGGACTTTCTCTGCCACCACTCAGCCCTGCCATAGGCTCCCACCGTGGCCAGACTCACCCACGATGCTCTAAGCCAGGGGTGGGGAACCTTATTCCTGCCAAGGGCCATTGGATATTTATAACATCATTCGAGGACTATAGAAAATGATCATATTTGGTCAAACATTTGGTCAAACATTTAATTAACTCAACCCTAATGCCTTGGTAGGGCCACACCAAATGATTTCAGGGCCTTTGTTAAGCAGTAAGCCTTCCTGAAAGTTGCACGTGCCCTAACACCCAGGGATGTTGCCTGTTTCTCAGTATTAATTCTCTTCCTTGCCTGCTTTGCCTCCATAGACCTATGATGACACGCTTCTTCCTGAACTCTCTCCTCCCCAAGTCTCTAGGACAGGGGCCTTGCTTCCATCTTTCTTCCTCCGTTCTGCTGCCACCCCTATCTCCACTCCTCAGATGAGGAGGTACTGCAGGCCTGGTCATCATCCCTCTTTGTTCTTCTTGACCAGCCTGGATCCCACCATCTCTCTGTGTGTGGAAATATATATTCTTTTTACAGAGAGGAAGAGAGAGAGATAGAGAGTTAGAAATATCTATCAGCTTCCTCCTGCACACTCCCCACCCGAGAAATGGGACTCTATTTTAAAATACATCTTATTAAGGTGTATTTATATACAGTAACTGCACTTATTGTGAGTATATATTTTGATGAGTTTTCACACATTTGTACACATACAAGCCCATTGTAAACAAGATAGAGGATATTTTCATCAACCCCCAAAATTAATCTTTGGGGTTTTTTTATTTGTTTGTTTGTTTATTTGTTTCAAAAATTCCTCTTTGCCCCTTCCTAGTTAACTGCCACTCCCCCACTCCAGTTCCAGGTAACCAATGATCCATTTTCTGTCAATGTATATTAGATTTGTTTTTTTTCCAGAGTTTAATAAATGTAATCACATAGTCTTTTGCATCTGGCTTTCTTCATTCAGCATAGTCTTCTGAAATTCACCTATCAGTATATATTAATAGTGTGTTCCTTTATAATGCTGAAGAGCATTCCATTGAGTGGACATACAACAATTTCACCTGTTAATTTGAGTTGCTCCTAGTTCTTGGCTGTTATGAATAAAATTGCTATAAACTTTTATGGATAAGTTTATGTATGAACATATATTTTTATTTCTCTTGGACAAATACCTAAGAGCAAAATTGTTTTATAAAAAGTTGCCAGATCTTTCAAAGTGACATCCCATTTTGCACTCCCACCATTAATATATAGGTGTTACAGGTACTTTGCCAACATTTGGTATTGTCAGCCTTTTTGATTTAGCCATACAGGGTCTGCTTTGATCTTAGATTTTAGATTATGACTATATACCAAGGCTCAGAAGAGCCCGCAGGGCATCTCAGTGGGGACCCTGCATTATGCTGCTTGGCCCTAGGATAGCTTCAGCCTTGTAAAATATGTCTGTGTTCTTTCAGGTCCAGATACAGGGCAGTTTCACCAGAGGTTAGGTTCAGGATGAGCCTGATGAGTGACTCCAACTTGACCATCCACAGTGGATACAGCTTTAAGTTCCTTTGCAGGATATCACAGGCCCAGCCCCCCACTGCCTCCCTAGGCTCCCCAAGAGGTCTCCTGACACATTTTAATGACGAGAGGCTGCCTTTGGGTAGCAAGATTCTTTTCTTCCCACTTGTGCCAACCCCTTCCTTTTATGACATGCTTTAATGAGGGAGGATGAAGAGAGAAAATGAGTGCCAGATGTATCTGAAGTGGGTCTGAACAATAATTACTTTCTGCAGTGAAATTACAGAAATTCTCTATTCAATATGCTCTGGAAAAAGCTGGCAGGAGAGAAATATGTGTTCCTGAAAGCACAACTAAAAGATGCAGATTTCGGAGTTCTAGCATAAAAACGAGGTCTAAAACTCAAGAAAGTCCAAGTCTAACATGCCCCCTACACTTTTTAAAAGGAAACATTGGAATTGAACCTCTGTGAAAGAAGGTGAACTATCAGCCCTATTAACAATGGATGCCTTCCACCATGGACTCTAAAACAGC